TTTCAACAAACCATTGTTAACATTGTGTCTAATCTGTGGTGGCTGGGGTTCTTCATGATGCCTCATGTTTCTGGCAATTCATCCTGCATAGTCTCACTATCGGTTTGAACATGACCAAAGTGAATCCCCTCTTACATTCCATTTATGACCTGAATAAAACAAGAATCGTGTGGGAAAGAAGAGACCTGAGATTATTTATCCAGATAGTACTCACAATAAAAGGTTGTTTTCTGACCTTTATTAGGATATTCTGTAATATCCTAATCTCGATTTGAGATTGTATTCTGCCTTTTGTAATATACAATGTGCATATTTTGTTATATTTTGTTACATTCTGTCCTCTTGTTCTTTTCTAGATACTTCTTTGTTCTTTTCTAGACACTTTTACTCAAATATAAATTGGTTAAAGTAGTATCGTAGTTCCTTGTTTCTGCACAGTGGTAGAAGACAACAGGCCTTATTAGATTGTCCTTTCCATATACTGATCAGATATCAGAGGGGCGAGAGAACTTTAAAATTAAAATCATTATATATTGTCAGAATATAGCAAATATGAAAGATATCAGTCTCATAGTGCATTGGTGAGATTCAGTAAGCAATTTTCAAAGAATATATGAGGTGGAAAAGCATAACAAATGATGCAATTCAGGTGGATTAAAACACCTCTCCCACAGCTACTGATGGTTGCCATTCATTGTAAATGACAACAGAGTCTTCTCTGTTTTAATTTGATTGATGAGTTCTCAGCAAGCTATAAAAAATCCATTTTCATGAGAAATGTCTTCCCACACACAGACCAACAGTGTCAGACACACCTAAAATTGCTCCTGGATTTCCTTTGGACTCCCTCCACTTCAACTGACTCTGTAGTGGTCAATTTGGATGTGAAACAGCTGAAAACTGGAATCAGCTTCTTTCTTTCACAATGAAATGCTCCCACAGAGCAGTGAAAATGCTACTTTTTTTTCTTTTTTTTTTAAACAACAAGGTTTATGACCACAAAGATGATTTGCATTTTCTGGATTTTGTGTCTCTACATTGTACACCCCAAGGTTTGGGAAGAACTTAATGGCTGTAACAGCCTCAAGCAGTAAAGACTCTTCTACAAGAGAGGCCAGGGCAGCATTTTGTAGCAATCAACTTATTTACTGGACTGGGCACTTCGAAAGATCCTTGAAAATGAACAAACAAAACTCAATGCCATATATTCAACTTTAAATAAGGAAAATTAATTACAAAAGTTCTACGGTTTGAAAACCTCGTAGTCGAATCCTGACAAAGCTGCAGCAAAGCACGTTCGTGGACGTGTTATCTTTTATGAAGCCAATTAAATTATCAGTGCTTCTCTGCATGATCTCTTGTATGTCATTGGAGAAAACTTTAGTGTCTTCCAATTGTTCACTCAGATACCCTGCTAATTACTTAGCCATTAAGACAATATATTATCTTCCCCCAGGCTTTACAAAAGTCAAATTCCATACTGTTCCTATAATTAGTAGCTCACAAAGTCACTTCTGTTAGATAACATTAGGGGAAATAAGATGCCTGGCAGTGATTTGGAAGGTAGGGAAAAATACTGTGTGGTAACACAGATAAAAACAAACTTTAGGGTTTTTTGAGTAGTCATCATTAGAAACTTTTTCAGATGACAGCTTTTCATAGTTTAAATTTTAGTTTACATTAAGATATGCACAAAGAATTTGTGAAAATGACAGATGAAAAACTATTTGCTGAGTGAAGAAAATGTTGTGAGAAATACTTTGAAAATACTGATTCATCAGCCCATGCAAAAGTAAACTTTCTGCACACAAAAACACATGGAACAAACTTTTAACTGGCAATACATTTACATAGGAAAAAATTTTGCATGGAAAAGATGGTTATTTTTCCTTCTTCAAATACAAAAATGCAACCCATTTATAACTAAAAGGTTTTGACTTTTTCCTTTGCCCACGAGGCAGTTTGTGCACTAAATAATTTTGTGTTGCTGAAACTGCCACAGAAGAATAAACAATGGAAATACGAGGAAGGTGGGCAAAGTCAGAGGAACTTGGTTATCAGGTATGTAAGTAAACCTGTTGATAATCCCTTTATAGAGCCATATCTGAATCCTTATTGTGACTTTAGGACTCTGAAGTTGAATACAACTAGTGCTTGTGTATGGTTTGATATCACAACCTGCAGTCACACACAGTGACTTAGATGCAGTAATGCAATCTCGTAGCAGAACGTGTACAAACGTACAAAATGTCACAAATAAATGGGAAATTACAATGCTTGTACCACTCTTTATGCAATTTTCCTGTTCTGATTGGAATTGCTGTAAGATACAGTTGGCTTACAGTGGTTTTATACAGCCTTAAGTTCCACAAAGACACATAAAGGCTGAGGGAACAGAGAAAGTCTTTTTCTTTTCTTCAGAGGGACATGTATTTCAGTTAAGGCATTTGCTAAATGAGTTTTTGAAAACCTGTGTAACAGCTCTGGTCTCCGCAAATTTTCTATGGAAAATGGTAAATTTAGCAATTATTTTGGTTAACTGTGCCACTGAAACAGAATAATTGTTATCAGAGTCTAAGCTGAGGTACAGCACAGCAGCTGAAGTGCTGTATGTCAGAATTGTGCTGCATATTCATTGATTTTGACCGAGTAACAGTTTATTTTCTTTCACTGAGTTATCCAGAGAGGTGAGTTATCCCAAGGTTGTGATCATTTGGGGGCTTTCATGTTGTCTTATTGTATCTTTTTTATGAAGGGCTGGTTTTTATTTGCAGGTACCCAATAATCCTGATTGTGTGATTCTACCTTTGAATGGGGAGTGGGTTGCTAATAGCTTTGAAAACATCTGTTGAAAAGCTTCTCTGATATCTCCCCCTGCCACAGAATTTGTAGTACATACTTGGCTTAAAGCATAAGTGTACTTGAGTTGACTTCAAAAGAAATAAAATTATCTATTTTTTAATCCACTATTTTCCCCCCACCTTCTCTATGTGTATATATGTGCCTTCTTTAAAGAGACTTACCATGTCAAAAACATAATTGCTTTAAATACAATAGAGAATATAATTTCATAGTAAAACATTTGCTTTTTTAAATTGGAATTGAGTCTTATCCTTGAGTTTTATTTTGTAATGGTGAAAGGCTTGAAATATAGGCAAAATACTGCCCTTGAAAAAGAATGCTGTTTCTTTTGATCCAAAGTGACATGTCATTTGGGGGACAGAAAGGAAGAAAGATTTCAGAATGGGAAGATGTGAATTTTAGAAGTAATAGAGATTTTAAAGAGCACTCATTTTGCTTTGACTGCAACTGTAGCCTGGAATTGCCAACTCTTTAGTCACAAACTTCTTTGTATTGTACATCATGTCTGAAAGGTAGTTATTAAGAGCAAGAATTTAATATTCACCAGGGCAGATTTGGGTATGAGAAAATAGGAAGGGAGAGAGAACAAGCCTAACATTATTCCTTTTTTTCTGCTTTACCTCCTCTCTTCCTTTCTTCCACCAAAACTGAAGAGGAATCGGTGCCTACAGCCTGTATCTGCAGTGCTGCCTCCTTCCATGCACCAAACCTGCTGTCTTTCCAATCAGTGGAAAATTACCACTCACTATAATCACAGTTGTATCAGACCAGTAGCCTACTTTCAAGGGGAAAATCCCTGCTGTTCTCACCCCTCTTATCTTTAACACCAGAAATACTTCCTTTTTTTGTTTTCTTTTTTTTTGAGTCAGTGACAGCAGGGCAGGATTCCTCCCTAATGTCTATTCAGCAAAGTCAGAACAACACAGTGGGAGAACTGCTGAAATTTTTGGGTCAAAATTAAGCTCTTAAAATGGCATTTCAAAAATTGGCTCTTGGGTTCTGAGAGGAAATCAAGAGCTATCTTCTTCAGTGTCATCTCACCTCATTCAGCTACGAGGGAAACTGCTTTTATTAAAGAGAGGCCTTTGGAATCAGAAGAAAAACTAATCAGTGTATATGTAATCTATGAGTTAATACTTTTTAACTACTCCATTAATATGAACTTACGCTGCATCCATCAAATGCATATTTTGGGGCACTTATTAAAAACATCTAATTTTAAATTTTTTCTGTGTCTTATTACCAAAGAAGGAAATACTGCCTCGTTCCTCTAGAGATGCAAAGAAAATAGCCTTGAATATGTTAAACTGAGAAAAAGCCACATGGATCTTTGAAATTGTATTTACAGCAATAGTTTCCATTGTACTGCTGGAGGAGTCAGAAGGAATAGGAGTCTGTGCAGTCTGTACATGTTGGAGTTGCTCTTTCATTTGTTCTGTTCTCACATCGGAAAGCCCCAAGACAGTAACTGCAATACATGCTGGCAGTGTGTAGATGTGGGAGCTGGCAGGAGAAAGAAAGAAATCTCTGTTTAAATGTGTGTGATGAAGTCTGAGGATGGTTTTAAAACAATATTTCAAAAGGCACACCTGGCAGGTTTGTGATAAGATTTATTTGAATGACTCATTTCTGTTTTAAAGGCCAGCAAAGAAGGGACATGAGGTTCTGCTCTCCTTATGTAGGCGTGTCATCCTTGTCCCCTCAAGGTGTTGTGAGGGTAAATATACAAAGTGTTGCAAGTGTCTGTTACTTGAATAAGGAAGGCATATAAATAGTTCTGTCAGATAAGAAGTTATCTCACTCTTCCTTGTTACCACATGGAACCTACATAAAACATAGGTAATGCTCTTTTGTTAAGTGATATTAGTGAAGTTGTCTGGGTACAATTTCAAGCAACAGTGAGGACTGTCTGTAAGTTGTGAAGCAGTCTCTTTTAATGATTCCCCATTATATACCAAGAACAGATTTAACTTTTTAAGTCAATACACCAAAATAAAAACCATGAAGATTTGTATGAACAAAATAACATATATATGGAAATTGGCAAGGAAGGAAGGAGCTTTATAATTGCATGGAGCAGATTTTACTAAAGACCAAAACTTGCTTCTATTAATGAAATTTATTTTCTTATTTTGCAGCTTGCAGGCCTGGATTCTATAAAGCTTTTGCTGGAAATGTGAAGTGTTCCAAATGTCCTCCACATAGTTTGACCCATGTAGAAGCAACTTCTGTCTGTCAGTGTGAAAAAGGTTATTTCAGAGCTGAAAAGGACCCACCAACCATGGCATGTACCAGTAAGTCTGATCAGTACCAGTGTCTGCAATTCTCTTCTCCCATTGCCTCATTTATTTCATTTTTTATTTTAAAAACCAACAAGTTTGTACATTTTGTGAAGAATTCCATTCAAGTTAACCAAAAGAGATTTTTTTTTTTAATCAAAATTCAAACAGCATTTTTCTGTTTAGTCTAGAGAACCTTTAAAATAGCCACGTTTCTTAGTTTGATGACTTTTTTCCCGGTAACTCTGAGATATAAAACAAGGAGGGTAATTGCTGTCATATAGATAATAATGTGGTGTTTTAACTACCAATAGGTATCTTAAATGCTTGAAAATATGTTAGTGCAAAAGCTTTCAAAAAACTGGAGTCATGTAAAGAAAAAAACTGCTATGACATGCTCTGCTGTCTCAGATTTAAATGAAGAGTATAAGAACAATATTGATATTTTATTCAACACAATTGAGTAAAAACTAAACTTTCTAGAAAAGACAAGAAGATTTTTTTTTTTAAAAAGGAAAAAGATGTATCTAATCAGAAGGTATATAATTAAAACTATTGCATATCATCTTTTTTAATCTTCTTATGCAACTGTGATAATGAAAATTTTTGATAAATATTAAAATACATAATTTTGTGTTTCTTGACTAACCCGTCATAAAACTGTCATCAAGATAAAACTGCTGCCTAGCAATCTACGGGCAGAAATCCTGAGAAGAGATTTTTATTACTTTGATCAGCATTCTTAGGTCTAGAAACAAAAAGCATAAGCTTTCTTTTTACTTAATAAAATATTTCTCATAGGTTTCCATTCATGGTTCATTACTCACTGGCATTCATTTAGTGGTCATTAGCAACTATATCTGTTTAATCTCAAAACTGAGAACAAACAGCAGCATTTAAAAATCTGTGGGTGAAATACTATATTTACACGTAATAGGCAATTAAAATTGCCTGTTTAGCAAAGGAATTTTAAGATTGAAAAATTCCCTAGGATGCCCCGTTTTCTGTATAGCACTTTGTCAGCTCTTTTTGTGGAGGATTTGATCTCAGTACATTTTGTGCCACGGTTAAGAAAATTCTAAAAAAAAAAATAACATGTTAAATGAATGAAGTATTTCAACAGAATTTTAAGTACAAAAAGTTTAAAATGTAAAACCACAAAAAAAGGTACTGTTGTAAAAACCATCAGTGTGTAGCTATAACTTTGCTATGTTTACACTGAGTGAAAAAATAACTGAGCTGAGAGAATTGTACTACTCCCTGTGCTCAGGATAGTCTTTCCAAAGGACACTGTACTGGGCAAGTTGGGAATATACCAGGTAATTTGGATCTGATGTACAAAGTTAGAGGCATTCTGCAATCCTGAGGCCATTACACAGACCAAGACATTGTCCAGCCACTAAATGGGGGGGGTGGTCATTAAAATTGCATTTCTCAGATTGAAGGCACTAAGCAGAAAATTGTCTTATCCAACAGTAGGGTTTTTAGAGGGGAAATAAAAAACCACACTCCACCTAAGGAATTTAGGGCTTAGACAGACACCCCAATCACCTTCACAGAACCTGCTCTCAGCTCAGTCTGGAACAAGGAACACAGGCCTACAATTTTACATAAAATATGTGAGGGAATAAACAATGTTTTCCAGACTTCCCCCAGGGAAAATGGTGATTACAAATAATCCCACTCAAATCAATGCCTCAAGAACAGGCCATTAAAAACTTACTTACAGAACTAACACATCCCAGGCATTCTTGACAGTCTCATGCTTAGAAAGACAGTTTCACTCATCCATTATGCAGATGAAGTTCCATATTATTTATAAGTCATTGGTTTTTCATCTCTGAAAGACAGTTCTTTGAAAAAATTACTCATACGTAGTATTAGGATTCCATAATTATCTTTCAGAGCACAATTTTAAGGCCTGATACCCACCAGTATTGATAAGGTCGGGAGGAGCACGAGAGCCCTGTGGCATCAGGGAGCAGGTTCTACAACACCCTGGTGCTTTCTCAACAAAAGTTGAGTCAGAGAGATGTTTTGGCTGGAAACTCTCAGGGAAAACTTGCTGCTAGCCCTCTCCAAATATCAGCCAAAGCAGCTGAGAGTGTGGAGGCAGAGATGAACCACAGCAGAGGTTGAGCAGTGCCCCATCTCACCTCATCTTGGGAGATAGAAGAAATAAAGGAGACAGTGAACCACACTCTAATTTCTGCCTTGCTCTTGCTTCAGTGCCACCAGGCATTGTCTCCCACTCGGCCCAGACTCCAAGGTGTCAGTTCTCCACTGACTGTCACAGCAGATGTATTTGTCTTATACCTACAACGATGATTATTTCACTAATTGTCAGCTGAGCAAATGACACTGGCAGACTGTGTTCTTGTCTTCTTGCTCATCATCAGTAATGAAGAGTCTGCAGGCCAAATTATTCCCTAAGTGATAGCTTTAGCCCCACTGCTTTCAAATTATGCTCTCAGTTATTAAAGTTATGTTTCTGTCATAAACACAACCTCACTGCTTTTGGTGGATCTGTGCAGATGCGGCTAATCTAAATTTAATAAACAAAGGTACAGGTATGAGTGGAATTTAGAGTGTTCCTTCCAAACTGCCATGCTTCGCTGTAATAAAAGGAGTTGAAAGTTAGAAAAAAAATGAAGATATTTGACTACATAGAGAGAAAAGGCTGTGCAGTAAGAAAAGGCCCTATCTGCATACCCCCTTTTGGGGCAGATCTGCATTTTTGGTATTCGTTTTCAAATTGGTATCTTCACATATGAGATGTGGCATAAGAAATAGACATTTTTCTTGGGACTTTTAAAATGAGAGTTATTTTTAAATTAAACACAGAGTGAATAGTCGATTCCACTCACAAATGTCTTTATATTCAAACATTTTGACTGACTCTATTGATGCCTGTTTTATTTGCTTCCCCATGTCCTGCAAAGCAATATGCCTAAGATAGGTAGATACTTTGTTCTCTCTCTCTTTTCATTCCAGTATAGGGTTGGGCACTATTCCTTACTCCAGAACTTTTCCTCAGTACTGGGAAACTTGCATATGCAGCATTATGGGAAAACAAACAAACAAACAAAAAAACCCAAAAACAAAACCAAACCTTGATTTCAGAGACTATGAAGTTAAGAGTTTAGCTTCCAGCATCCACTTTTTACAAGATGAGCTTCAAACCCACTGTGAAAGTGCATAGTGTCTGCTTTTCCAAAATTGTACAGTTCCCATTTTTACTTCCTGTAGCTGCATTTTGTGAAAGAAGAGTGTGCACTTTGCAAAAAACAGTAATACAAATCTATTTTCAATAAGAGAAATGAAAATTACATTAGAATATATTGTTAATCCCTTTCTCTGAGGCTCTTTTCATTTGATTGACATTTCTTTATCAATCTCTTGCTGCTACTCTTTCTTCTTATTGTATTTCTTTGCCATATGAAAGTACTCTATCAGTGATCTCTCTGCATACACAGTGAGCAACAAATAGCATCATATCTAATCCCCTGTCTGATTACTCTGTACATAAAGTCTAACATTTCCCACCATAAAGTAATTGGATTAATTGATCCGTCTTTTCAAGGTCAGGCAGACTTATATTGGTTGTCTGAGTCTGAATGCATCTCTTTTCATGTTATGCTTAAACAACTTGAACCCAACAAACTTGTGCTCTGTTCAATAACCTCTGCCACAAACTGTATCCTCTACTTTTAAGAGTCAACACAGTATTTCAGCAGCAAAATCAAGCAACATACTTGAAGTCTTTGACTCTACTGCCTCTGCTCTTATATATATAGATATTATATATGTTTATACATTTGTTTGCAATCCATCATTATACTCAGACTTGGAGTCTTGGTTTGCAGCCACTGGCTTCATTTTCCTGCTGGTCTCATAGGAAAAGTATAAGTGATTCTGGAAAAGGAAAAATGTAGTTCTACATCAAGTGACACAACTCATTTATACCACATGTATATATGTATGTCAAAAAGCAATTATGAACTCAAGGGGCACAGCCAGGTGCTGATTCCAAGTATATTCTAAGGGAATGCTTAATTTTTGCTCTTCTGCTGTAAATTCAGTTGTCAAAAAACACGAACTTCTAAGAGTCCAATAATGGACAGTTTTTCACTTAAAATGCAACAGGTTTTTTCTGGACACTCGCCACTCATTAGTGTATAAAATAACACATCGCCCTCACTAGACTTCTGCAGAGCTGGGTTTGCTCCTCTTTCATTCCAAAACCAGCAAAATTCACTTTGCCTTCGCAGAGGAAGAGAATAAACTCTGCTCTGTTGCTTTCAGAGCAGGCCTGGTTCTCCCTAAGACATTGATGTCAGTCTCCTCCACAGAGAGTGTAGAAATACTTCTTACATTGTAATTTGTAAATGAAGCAAAAGACATTGCTCACACTCTGGCTGAGTTCCACCTTAGCAGACGAGCTGCATGTTTTTTTAATGCTCATCCATCTGAACTGTATTTTATTCTTTTGCATAAAATCCAGAGTCATGAATTCTGCTGTGAGAAAAGGCTCCCTTGTTTTCACCAATATACTTGTTTTCCTTAAAAATCAATATGAGGAAATCCCTGAGTGCTTTGCACACAGATGTCTGCAGAAGGGTTATTGCTGCCAGGTTTTTCCAATGTGTCAAATAATCTTTGTATAATTTATAAATGATAACAAAGCAATCAGGCCACATTCATAAAAGCCCAGTGACACATAATTTAGTTGAATCTGAGGATTAGAATGAATTGTCTCTCTTTGTTCCAAGTTCTAAATCTCAGTAAATGATTCACTGCATGTCATTACAGCTTAATATTTGCATGAAATCACAGTTTAACTGGCATAATTTAACAGCAATTAAAAAGCTATTTAATCGTCATGCAAATTGGCATGAGGGGCCTTGAGTAGGAAGTGTGTTTGAGGCTTTTTTCTGCATTTGCAAGCAGACAGTCACATACTTTCAGACACCTCTAACATAATTGATGGTGGTTTTCCTTTTCACTGAAATGTGAATGTACAATAGTATGTGTTTCCTCTTACAATTGAGGATTGAGTCCCAAGTCATGACTCTAAAAACTTTCACTCTCTAGTACAAATAAAAATATTTTTTTAAAATGTATTTTATTTACTGTATTGGTCCATCTACAGATGTCATCTACATATAGTGCAACAAAAATCTGATAGGAAATGAAAATTCAAAAAGACAGACAAAACTTGGCTGTTGCTCAGATTCACATTAACTCTAAGCTTGTTTTAAAACCTTAACTCCAATCCTTCAAGCAATTACACACATGCTTAGTTTTAAGTGCTTGAATATTACCAATTATTTCAAGGGGATTACTGATCCACTCAAAGTTATGCAGATATGTAAGCGTGATTAAGCAATTACACACATGCTTAGTTTTAAGTGCTTGAATATTACCAATTATTTCAAGGGGATTACTGATCCACTCAAAGTTATGCAGATATGTAAGCGTGATTAAGGCTCATCCTCCATATTCCTAAAACTCCTCATTGGTTTTAACAGTGGGAATTTGTTAAGACCAGTCATTATTTAATTCTCACAGCATGGCTTTAGAGGAAACATAATTATTCTGAATAATTAGTCATCTGAACATAAATAATTAGAACTGAAGCTGAAGTCATCTGTGCTGGTTTTAGCTTGTTCCAGTCTCAGGACTCTTTTCCAGAGTAGCCAGAACCATCAACCTCACAGTGGTTTTATGGGAGTTTAGTAATTTCTGAATCTGAGACACTCTAAGCTTGTAGGAGCTTTTGAACCACAGAGCCTTTTCAAGGCTATCTCTTACCTCTGTTTTCCACACCACTAGATAATGAAGTATCAATATAATGAGCCTTTGTTAACAAGTTGCATTTACAAGTACTTACCTATTAAAGTATTTCATATGCTTCAGTTTACACTTATCACAAGGTCACAAAGACCAGGAAGGAAAAATAAAGGAGGAGCATTGATATTTTTGTTTTCCTCCCTAAAGCAAAGGTTTGACCATCTTTTAGGCACAAGGTCTTGTCTTCATGCTACAAATTGTAGAGCTGGAATTTACAAAAGTGTTGATTAATATTTTTGGTTTGTTTGTTTAGAAAGCATATTATATTTTAATCGTCTGACTCTCTCATCTTTACTGTGCCACTCAATTTGTTGAGTGAAATTCACTTGCGTAAGAATTAGCTGATGTCATTTGCAAATGTTTCTTGTACTCTTTCAGTCTGCTTGAGACCCTGAAGTAATGAAGAGCTCACTCAAAGTTTGACCAGTGTCTCAATCAAAACTTTATGTTTAAGTCCTGTTGGTATAAATGATCAAAAACTGCAAAGAAAGCTGAAACTTTTCAAAGCTCTGATAAGCCAAGCAATGCATGTGCCCTGTGATTTTGTTGAGAGCTGAGAATATATGTTTATTCAACTCATTCAGCTCAAAAAACCCAGAGGTCGGCAGTTGAGTTTTCCACAGTCCTTTCACACATATCAAAATCTAGAGTATAAGGCCTTGAGTTTTTCCAAATCTGTGTTTCTTACATAATTTTTATGGGTACATTTTGGGATTATCTCTCTGTGAAGAACTTCTTCCTGGTGTCCAACCCAAACCTCTCTTGGCACAGCTTGAGGCCATTTCCTCTCATCCTGTCACTTGTTACCTGGGAGAAGAGGCCAAACCCCACCTGGCTACAACCTGCTTTCAGGGAGTTGTAGAGGGCAGTAAGATCACCCCCAAGCCTCCTCTTCTCCAGGATAAACACCCCCAGCTCGCTCAGCCTCTCCTCATCAGCCTTGTGCTCCAGACCCTTCCTTAGCTCCATTGCCCTTCTCTGGACATGCTCCAGCACCTCAATGTCTTTCCTGGAGTGAGGGCCCAGAACTGGACACAGCACTTGAGATGTGGCCTCACCAGTGCCGAGTACAGGGGGACAATCACTATTTAAATATGTAAAGCCCCGGGTATTTTTTATGTGATCCTACACAGTAAGTTAGCAAACAGCTTAAAACATGTTGGACATACCTGGACTGTTGTGGAATCCATGGGAAATGGGTCACTTGTGGTTCATCTGACAGTACACAGGCAGCTTTACCACCTGCTTGTTAGATGAGAGATTTCCTGTACTCTGCCTGCTGCAACTAGCTTTGTATTTCTCCCTACAGTCTTCAAAAATTACTTTTTCTCCTGCTTTTTGGTCATCCTTTTAGACCTTTAACTTGCAAGGTTGATGTCTTCACTGTTATACTGGTGCTGACGAGGTACCAGGTGGGAAGGAAAAAAAACTTGTGAACTGTCTCTTGTGCCTAATAGTCTTGGCCTGTTGCCACCTAACTCTTGTTAATGAACAGTAGCAAAGAAATCCCTGGGGATAAGCAGTGAAGGGTAAAAAAAAATCTGGCACTGCAGAACTAATACAAACAGTTTTACCTCTTGTAGTTATTCCAAAGCAGTTATTTATTTATTACTTAATTTGTCTCATATAAAACATCAAATATTTTAAGTCTCAGAAAAGCCTACATTACTAGATATAAAATAAGGATATAAATTTTGTGGTTAAAGCTGTAGCCCAGTATACCACATCATCAAGAGATATTTAATGCAAATTTGTGTTATCAAGTGTAGTTTTGACATTCCCAATTCATTTTTGCATTGCCTTAAATGATTTCTGAATTAATTCTAATTTACTTAGATTATTCAGCTTCTTGTGATCTCACCCATTTATTATGTCTGCTTAATTTTCAAGGATTGTATTCAGATAACTCTTATTTTTTACTTTGAATTTGTTATAGAAGCATAACTCTTATGTCTTTTATTTGCAAATAATTGCCTGAAAATGATTTTTTTTTTTGTTTAACTTTTTTCTCCAAAGAGGCCTCACGAGTTTCCCCCTCCTTCTCTGCAGGGCCACCTTCTGCTCCGAGGAATGTGGTTTTTAACATTAACGAAACAGCTCTGATGTTGGAGTGGAGCCCCCCGAGCGATACTGGAGGAAGAAAGGATCTCACTTACAGTGTCATCTGTAAGAAATGTGGCTCGGACGCCAGCCAGTGTGAGATCTGTGGGGGAGGCATCCGCTTCATCCCCAGGCACACGGGGCTCACCAACTCCTCGGTGACGGTGCTCGACTTCGTGGCGCACGTGAACTACACCTTCGAAATCGAAGCCACCAACGGGGTCTCGGAGCTGAGCTTCTCTCCCAAGCAGTTCACAGCCATCACGGTGACCACAGACCAAGATGGTAAGTCCCAGCATGTCTGTTCCTGTGCCCCTGACACCTACGGAGAGGTTTTTGTTTCTTAGAAGTCTGGCTCAGCAAGTTAGGATGTTTTGCAGGTTGCTAAATGTTTTCAAGTGCTTTCTGTGAGGACTTTCAGCCCCTGCTGATGAAGGCATTAAATGCTTTTGGCAGTTGGCCCTTGACCCCATTACACAGGACACAAAACCATAGCTTTCTGTTTAAGTACAATCTTTAGCTACCTGAGAGTAATTGTATCTATCAGTGGTTCATCAGAACTGGAGTCTGGTGCTTTTGAGATTTCAGTTTTGCAAGAGTAAAACACCAGAGGTTATCCATTACAATTGCACAATTCAAAGGAAAAGTGGAAGTGAACTCACTACCTTTAGTATCTGTGTTTCACAGTACTAATACAGCATTTCTCGCTGTAAAGGTATTTCAACATCTGTATGAGCCATTTCCTACTAGATTTTTTTGATCCTTTAATTTTAAACTTTCCATTATTATTTTGAGCTTTTTCTTCCGTCTATTTCAGTTTGAATTCATGTCCAAGGTGAATCTTCACCAGAAACATGGGAAACTAGAAGAGCTCTCTGTTTTTGTTTATTTCTGCAATTTTTTCTTGTTCCGTCTTTAGAAGTGCTTACTGTGCCAGGAAACGGCATCACAGGTTACCAGCAATGTAAACTATAAAGCAGTGTCCTCTTCTGGCTTTTGTCACTGTAGACAAGACAAGAAGGTTATTGCAAAATTATCCCTTGCTGACATTTGTTCCAGAAATGTTTTTCCCCTACTGTGCAGTGACATTGCAACTGCAGCTGACGTGTTTAATGTAGAGCAGGAACTGAACTGGCAAAACTACCGCTTTGAGCAAAAAACACGTGATAATATCATTCTATTTAGTAAAAGTGCTAATGTTTCAGAGGATCCTGTTATGTTCCACTTGTAGGAAGGCTCGAGGTTTTTTCACTGATCAGCCTAGCAAAAATCTGCTTACCTGTGTATCTGGGATGAGTAGTTTTGTTGATGAGTAGGTAATGACTTGTTTGCCTTTGGGCATACAAAAAATTAACAGCTTGCTGTGATCATGATGATGATGATGACAATGGTGGTAATATGAATAATATTCATGAAAATGGATTAGAAAAAGCACAAAAACTACTCACCGTTCAGGTGATGATGGTAACAGCAGAGCTAATCATTTAAGATACCTAATGATATACAGGCCTTGCAGTGAGAATTTCCTTAAGCACTTAAGCTGTGTATCACCTTCATATCCCTTTTCCTTTCTCAGTAAAGGAAAAATGGTGTTAGAAAGTACCCCTAAGTGTACTTACTTTTGGATATTTTGCTAAATGGCATTAAATGCAAGTCACCAAGCATGCACAGGTGGAGGTCACCAGAGATATGGTTTATTTTTAAGCTGGGTAACAGCTGTGTGAACACAGCTCGTGATGTGCATTAAACTGGTGGCCTTTTAAAAAACAGTATCTTTTGCTGTTGTCTGTCCCTGCTTTAAGGACAGAGATTTTTATTGCAGTTTACTCAAAACAGGGAAAATGTTCTGATAATTTGTAGCACACTGGCAGTAAACTCTGGAGTATAGAGTGCTTGTATTCCCTATAATAATTCTTACATTACTAAAATTGCTATGCAAGGGCTTCAGAGAATTTAAGACCAGATTTTCAGAATTCTTTGTCAGTTTATTTGGATATAAAAAGACAGCATAGCAGGAGTCATCTATAAAATGTAGTTATAAAGATAAAAGCATTTTTGTAGGATTACCAGCTGTTCAGTTGTATAAAACCATAAACATGGTAACTATATATTTAGAGGTAAAAGAAAAAAATATAATGTTGGATGAAGTGTGGAAGAAAGTTAATGGAGTTTTTGTTGATGGAAATTAATCAACATTTTTTGTGAGTTACTTTTAGTCATGAATAAGAAGTGATATGGAGAAAGCTGCGGTATCTCACCTCAGAAATGTAACCTGTAGAATTACAGCTTCAGAACATTGCAGAGATTTTACTTATAAACTCACTGTTACAATCTTCCCTTATAATCTTAATTATACTGAAATGGATAGTACTTATTGCACAGTGCTGCAGGTTTCTGCATACATTCATAGAAAGCACAGATCCAAGATTAAGCATATCACATAACAACAAATCAAAAATGTATACATTTGTACAAGGACTGGATCACTAGAATTGGTTTAAAACAATTTTTTTTTACTTTTGATGTGTCTAATATCTAGATCTATAATTAATCATTCCTACACAACATATTTATGCCATGTTCAGCTACCTTTTTATATGTAATCTTTTCATACATACACTTTTAATGTTTTTGGTATATGCTTTGCATGAAGTGCTAAACCTCCTTATAAATATATAAATTGTTTTCTTCCACTGTCATATCTTTATTAAGAATATAGAACCATATCTGCAGCTGTTGTAAATCCAGACCATTCTGTTAGCTGCAGTAATTTACAGTGGCTGAAGACCTAGCATTTTATTTTCTTTGAGCATATTGGATTTACTTCCCTCTAGTGGCCTTTTCTTTTTGACAGTTTATGTGAAATTAGCAGATTCTTCTTTAAACATGCAAAATTATTAGCTTGTTCTTCAGGGGGGTTTCTCTCTTATTGGATTCAGCACTTAGCTGAATAAATAACTCAGTGAAGAGTACTGTGGACATCCAGAGAAAGTGAGGAATTGTATCCTGTCACATAAGTGAATAGAGTAGTCTGAGAGCATCAAAGAGGGAAGAATACATGCTGACAGGAGAAGTGAACTAATTCAAAAGTGATTAAAGCTCATCTTTATGCACAGAGTTCTACCACAACTAATATTAAAATTTTAACTGCCTCTTCATGCAATCACAAGGATCAACAAAATTAAATACACTGCTCAGCTTTAACAGTGACAAGAAGCAGACTAAAGGAAAGTAACACTTAAAAAAAAAAAGCAGCTCAAACCTCTCTGCAATTTGGTGAATAAAGCATTATCAGACCTGATCAAATACTGAAAAAAATTACTCATAATAATGCGAGTAAGTCAGGTAAAATGAACTTGGCAATACTCATGACTTTTTTCTTTAATTTTATACAAGTACTCACAAATTGGATATCCGTGATTTTGGATTTTTCCCCTTGGCTTCGTAAGGAAACAGAATTTCTGTGGTCACATTGTCTGTCAGGCACCAGAAAGAACTGTGAACCCAGAAGCCAACGTGGGTTTGATACCAGTGAAAAAGAGTCAACAGAATTGTGAAAACTGATCACTTGGAGTCACCAAGGTGTTGGTTGGGTCTGCAAGTTGAAAAGAATCGTGAAGCTTCCTTTCTGGACTAGAGACCCCAACTAACTTACCACTTGGCCTGTCTGCTGACTAGTCAGTAAAGAAAGAATATATTTCAATCTTTACAATCACAGCATGTGTTGTGTCCTGTCCAGCAAGCAAGGATGGTGTAAGGGGGTGTGTTAGGGAGTGTAGATGTTGCAGATGGGGAGATGAGGGAAGTGTGGCTTTTTTTCAAAATGATTTGAGATACCAAAATAATCCCTACTTTAAATGCAGATAAATGGACAGATAAGTATACAAGAGATCCTTCTCAGGAAAGCACTTAAGCAAAGTTCCTGTTCAAGGAAGAACATTAGCACATATTAAGCGCTTTCCCAAATCACTGCTAAAGTAGTTTGTAAACAACTGAAAGATAAAACATGTTTTCACAAAAAGCCTCGTCAAAAAAATGTTTCACATACTATTGTTCAGAGAAGTGCCTGGATGCCTTTTCTTTATGGGAGAGAGAAAGTTTTATGCAGCAGTAAATATGCTGAGTACAAAGTAATTGTACTCAATCGACTTTAAATGATTGTGTGAAGAAGCAGAGAATTACATGCTGAATTGTAATTTATGTTTCTCTTATGACTAATGGAAGGAAGAGACACCTCACTATATAACTTTCTGAGCATGCCACAGAGTCTGCATTGCCTAAAGAAAATTCAGACGTACTTGAGTTTTTTCATACATAATTAAAGTAGTAAATAATGAATAATTAAGCAAACAGAACTTAAAAAGTAGTTCCTATTTCCAAATAACAGTCCATATTCACATTTACTCAAGGTGCACTCACATGTTCTATTCCTTGAGAACAGGGAGGAAGAGTACACTATAGAAATACTCCTTCTGCCTTTGCATCCTGGAAAGCTCTTCTCCTTTCTCAGTTCTGCAGTTTGTGGGTGACTCTGGTCTCTGTGACACCAAAGACCTGCTACCAGTCGACAAAATCTGAGGCACAAGAGAGCACAATCTGTGGGCACACACCCTGTCACTATATTAAAGCCCTGGCTCATTTTTTCTGTCTGTCTAGTGTTGGCAATAGAGATTTTCTGGCAGACTCTGAAACTGCAATTCTATCAGGATTCATTTGTCTAATACATCTTATTTTACATGAGCCATTGGCAGATACATCCAAGGTGATGTTTCCTAATCCAATGGTAAAATCTTGCCAGTGTTTGAAAGGGATTGCCTTTCATCTAATTCCTTTTCCCAAATAAGTTATTCCTGGTGCAGGTGACTCCTCAGACATATTTGTAGTCCAGTGCAGGTGGTCTCTAGAAAGAGCAACCATTTGTCACTCCTAATCTTAGAGCTGTGTGAACAGAGGAATTCATGGCAGGGTTTCAATGTCTCTTCCAGGAATAAACGTGACCATATCACCATGACTTAATGGCATATAGCATTATAATCACAATGCAGATGGGGGAAGTGGTTAAGAGGTTCATCTGACTGTCATTCTGACTCTTGGTTGCACCACCAGGACAGTTTATCAGGATTAATCCTTCTGATTGATGACAGGATAGTTTCAGGATCCTCGTTGGAGTGACAGGGGAGTTGGCTGTTTACTCATCCTAAGTTGCTTCCCATAGCAGTATCTCGCTTTCACCCTAACCAAAAGTCAATTTTCCTTTTTTTCCCCATCTCACTTTCACCCTAACC